TGGGTTGTTTCTCTCCCTTCATCTTCCTCTCGCTCATGTGTGAGTAGATGTCTGCTTAAATGACCCGTACCACCCTTGCTACAATAACTAAAGTCTTTCCTACATTTTTGGCAAACGGCCCTTTTCCCCTTCCCATCAATATCCTCTACTTTGAAAACTTTCCAAACCGGGCTACTCAACTTAGAAGCCCTCCTTTTTCCCCTAGTATCACTACTACCGGGGATGAAAGTTCCACTTCCATTGACATCAATCGCATCAATGCTAACACTATCGTGATGCGATTGAATGTCATCCATGGCGAACATGTTGGGGAATCGGTTTTCAAAAGAGCCGGCCATTTTTTTTAATTCTAAAAAGATAAAAATTAATCTAATTCAACTTACCCAGATTTCCGGTTCAAAATCCCAACTTGATTTCAACGATTGAAGCCTTTCAACGTCTAAGCCTCCTGAATTGAGATACTTGAACTGGTTGAGCAAGCCTTCTTGTTGAAAGTCGAAACTTCGATAAAGTTGAGACTTGAGAATTAGAGAATGCAGAATCAGACAATAAGCTAATCATAATTTCTCAGATTGCAGATAATTGAGAATATATGAGTATGAGAGAGAGAGAGAGAAGAGAATTGTTGAATTGGTGTGATGAGAATGGTGGAGGATAGGGCTATTTATAGGAATTGAACATAATTCAATTGCCCAAAATACCCAAAAAACTATCTGTTATTTAGTTGTTGGGAGGGGTATTTTGATCATTGTAAAGTTACTTATAACTTTACCCAAAATACCCCCCTAAACTAATTGTTATATAGCTGTTGGGGTGGCATTTATGTCATTTTTTCAACCCCCATAAGCAAAACACAAATACCCCCCTAATATGGCTGTTTATAGCTATTGGGGGGTATTTCTGTAAACCCCCCCCAAAAAGATGAAACTAGCCATTGGCCTACCTCGGCCCGCTACGGGCCTGGCATGCTGAGCCGTGCCGTGCCAGCCCAGCCCATGGGCCACGAACCCCTGGCCCAGCATGGCACGAACCTCCGTGTCGGGCTTGGTACGACCTGTGGTACCAAGCTCGAACCGAGCTCGAACTCGAGCTCGAGCCTTGTAGAATAGTCTCGAGCCGAACTCGAGCCTGGTACTATTCGGCTCAGCTCGGCTCAAATCCACCCCTAGTTTTGATCATCATCCATTAATCCTAAATACTACCCCCCTAAAAACCAATTTCCAAAGCCCTTTAGATTTTATGAAGTGTAGCTGGCTGATAGTTCCTGTAATGAAGTTATTCAGCATGGTTGGGAGATACAGACTCATGGATATGTTGCCTACTGCTTGTCTCAGAAGATGAGTCAAATTAAATCTGACCTTATTCATGGGCGAAAATTTAAATTCATAAATCCCCAAAAGAAGTTAAGTGATTTGGAGCAACACATAATCTATGTAGAACAATCCACCCCTTGGAATCAATCACAACTCTCAACTTTGTATAAACTGTATGATGATATTCAATCACAAATAGAGAGTTTTTGAAGACAAAGATCCAAACAAATCCGGCTTTCATTGGGTGACAAGAACATAATTATTTTTTCCATAAAAGTACTTTATGCCGACAGAGAAAGAATGAAATACAAGGAGTAAAAGATAACCATAATTATTGGGTGACAGATCATAAATCTATCTTGGATGTCTTTATCTCGTATTTTTCGGAGTTATTTACTCATCACCCCCAATCTGATTTATCCTTTGTGTCAGAACTTTTTACCCCTATCATTTCAGAGGATGAAAATAATTTTTTTAACTGCCATCCCCTCTGAAGATGAAGTTAAAACAGCTTTTATTCAATATTGGTAGTCTCAAATCTCCTGGACCAGATGGAATGCCAGCATTAGTCTATAAACATTATTGGGAGTTAATGAGTTCTGAAATTGTAGCTTTTGTGCAGGAATTTTTCCAGAACAAGAAATTACTTAAATGTCTAAATCATACTTTTCTTTGTCTAATCCCAAAAAGGATACCCATCAGTCTGTGTAATGTTCTTTATAAAATCATGTAATCATTCATGGAAAGAGAGACGAGAGAGAGAAAGAGAAGAGGAAGATATGATTGAGAGACAAAAAAACCAACTACTTCTAGCTGTCGCCAGTTTAGTTATTTATATTAACTTAATATAAAAGGAATGGGAGATTACAAGTATGCCCCTGGTGGCACTCCCTA